TATATATATATATATATATATATATATATATGTATGTATACCCAGAAAAGTCAACAGGAATCTTCTTCATTCCTACTCTGCTCCCTTTCTTTTTGCAAATAGTTTGTACCAACCCACTGGGAGCTGCACACACCTCTCCCTGCACTGTCTTGATTGTGACTGCACAAACAAGTTGCCACGCAGTTGTAGATGAGTCCAGTCAAATCAACAGTCTTACTATAATTAATCAGTAAAATTATGCTTTTGTGGAGGGTAATCTGAGGAGAAAAAAAAACTTGACATGCTCAAAAAAAAAAAAAAGCAATTTTGTTCCCCCGTGTTATAGTTGGACTGACTAAAGATACATGCTAGCAAATGTTCTCATGAAATGAACCTCCTCTTGAGTTGACACACTCTCTTTGCAACACTTTTGTAAAATACTGATAGGGGTGTCTTTTCATCACAAATGACCTATTCCTTTTTCTAACGAGACCACAATTTACACCTCGACATTCCAGGCATGTTAACTTTGAAGATATCATGACTGATGAGGTGTGACAACTTTTAAGGGAAGAAATAGGGCCTCGTTGAAACAAATAATGTAATATTGATCCAAAAGTTCCTAAACCGATGCCGCTGATGCAGCGCTTTGCAACATTTCGATAGAATATCTTGTTTGCTTGTGAACATGTCACAACAGTTGATGAGGAATAGCGTTTTTGCATTGACTTTTGCTGATAACAAAATCATTTTATTCATAAACTTGCAGTTTATGACTTTAACATCTCAATGTTAAAGTAGAGGTGTTAAAGTTTTGGCCGGGGTGGAAAAAAAGTTCCTCAAAAAAATTATTTTGAGGAACAGAAACAGAATAGCATTCAAAAGCTGCTAGCAATAGCCATGACTTGCTGACCTTTCTATATTTGCGGTGCTTATCTGAACCAAAATCGATTACATGTGCCAAGCTTTCTGCCGCATGCACCAGAATATTGTCAACAAGAAGCACAACAAATCAATGAGAATCTGTATGGACTGAAAAATTTAGCTTCAGTGATTTCAAGATGCTAAACGTTGCCTCAGCTGCTGAGGGTGCCTGGCGATGATGCTGTGATCATCATTGAAATTGATCAAGTCAAGAAGAGGTTTTGCAGGTTAAGATTCTATACAGCTTCCATGAGATCGGTTCAAAGTTCGTCTTTTTACAACTCCTTATTTGCTACACACACTCACTGCTCTTTGATTGGAAACCCTGCCCCAAAGCAATCCAACTTTTTTTCACTGTATTGGCACATTTGGTGTCAATCCAAGTGGACTGTGAAAATAAATCTCTCAACTATCCAGATCTGTGCCTCTAAAACTTTTGTGGGCATTACGGATAGAGATTATGCGTAATCCTGGGAACTAACTGACTACTTAACTAACCACAGTGACCAAAACATAAATCCCCTGCTTTTTTTGTTGTTGTTGTCTTTTGCGCTTGGTGGAGGCAACAAGTACAAATCTTTTCTTTGGCCGCATTGAAATCATCTATTATAAAACACTTCAAAACGACACGAATTAAAAAAAAAAAACATTTCAAAGAGCTTTCCGTCCATCATTAGTTTGATGCAACAGTAATCTGCACCTCTTTCCAAGTGCCACATTTTACGCCTATTAACACAGAAATGGGGGAGGAAAAAAAAAGATCCACCATGACCCATTTTCTCTTTTGCAAAGGCTGTTTGTTTCAAATAAGGCAATGAGCTGGAATTTTCCCAGGATCTCCTGACAGAAGAATGCCAGTCAAAGGCAGCCACATGATGTGTAATCAAGCTTGCCATGGTTTCTCATAAGAGGCACTGGGATTAATTGTCGATTCATTCCATTTGAGCAAACAGAAGGTGACCCAGTGGAGCATGGGTATGTTAGATCTCTTGAGTGTAAAGACAGTTTCCCCACTTGTTGGCAAACTCATAATTCCCACACAAAATGTACCGGCACTAGCATGCAGTGTGTTTCTTTACCTAGAGCCATTTCAATGGCGCTGGTCTGGCCCTCGGACGGGGAGAGGATTTTGGGCGGCTTGTCTGTCAAAGGAGCTGTGGGAAAGACAAATGGAGAGAGGACCTTTAATAACTCAAAGGCAAAACCTTGACATCACAGAGAAAAGGAAGATGTCTAATATCTGGTGCTGGATCAACAGTAACTCATTTCTCAATGAATTTATTGAACATGAAACAAAAACAAAACATGTAACAGTCCAACTGCATTTGGTACTTTCAACATGTACAAATGTCCAAAAGCCGAATCAACAGATGATTAACACGAAGAGGTTCCTAATGCCTATAAATCCCCATGAGCAAAACCAGGTAGGTTTTCCAGGATGCATGTTGGAAAAGCTGAGCGGCGAGACATGTTTTTTTCGAATGACTGGTGGCGTGATTGGCGTTGAATGGGTCAAAATTAATACAGATGAACCAGGTAGGTTTTTCCAGGCACACGCCTGGAATCGTGGGGATCTCGCGTTGGAAAAAAAAGAGTCAAGACTACAAATATGGTCTCCAGTCCACACTCTTTGTAATCGGGAGTATAAGAAAGTAAAACTGCTTCTATGAGCTCATTAATGACAAACTTAGGAGCAAATGCCAAATAAATAAAAAGGGGAACAGCAAATTATGCACTTGCGTGTGCTTGGCATGCTTCGGTGCCGTGAGAAGGAAATCTCATTACTTTAATTACCCCTTTCCCCACAAAGTGTGCTGGCATTATTTGTTTCATCGTGACAAGGCGAGGAGGGGCTCTGACAGCAAGGAATGCTGGATTTAAAGGGAAGAAGGTGCAAAAGCACGGACGTCACGGCGCGGGCGTGAAGCCACAGCCTCCAGTTTGCACAGTATGGAATCCTTTCGGATACTGTGGAGCACAACGGTTCAAATGCAATTGGCACCTGTTCCTGATGGTGCAATCTCAGAAGTTTTTTGAGTGGTACAGTTCATCCTGATCAAAGGGACATTGCTGTTGATTATATTGAGATTCTGCCATGTTGGAAGTGGCGTACACACAAACGCACACGTTTGCTGACCCCAGATGTTTCTTCCCCGAAAATTCAAATTCTCTGGTGGCTTATTATGAGTGAGAGTGCGTCGGCTTTTAGCTGAGGGGCACCGAGCACATCAAGTCTGACCTGCTTCACAGCACACTTAGATGCACGCAAATTCGGCGAGGCACCCAATGTCACAATCAGCTGGGGAGACCATCTTAAAAGGTCCCTGTGATCACATAATAATAGATGGGTTAAAGAGGGTTGAGGGTGCCGAAATGTTGGTGCAAAGGGGAAAAAAAAAGACCTTGCTCTCTCCCATTAACTCTCCCATCACTTTGCTTCCTGTGCTCGGCTCAGAGTGTGGCGCTCTGCTCGATTCTTCCTGCGGCTCCCTGGGGTGACACCAGGGAAGATGAAAACAGAGGGAGGAGAAGAAGGAAGGGAGGAGGGGGATTGGTTGTTGCAGTGTGCTGTTCACACTTCATTAAAGACCACTTCTGCAGATGAAGGGCAGGAGCGTGTGTGTGTGTGTGTGTGTGTGTGTGTGTGTGTGTGTGTGTGTGTGCGTTTGCCAGAGAATTGCGCAGGCTTTTCGAGGTAAACTTTCTGAACTGAACTTTGTGGTTACTATTTTGCATATAAGACAATGACCCTTATTCTTCCCTTACATTTCCTTACATTGAATACATGTTGAACAGCATTTGTGTGTGTACATTGAAAGTGAGTGAGCATGCCCTCTGATCCAACAAATTCTATTATTCTGGTTCTGGGTCTGTGCGGTGCTTCCGTTTTGGGTAGGGCCTCCTGCGCACACCTGAGGACTGTGACAATCCAACTGTGCTCTTCAGTGCAGGAGAAACAGAAGAAGACTGCTTGCTAGCCACCGTTGCCAGTTGCGGTAATCGTATGGTTTGCTTTGTCACACCATTATTCCAACTCAGTACTTCCCTTGTTTACTCCTGTCTAAGGAAGTAGTTGTGGTGTTCTTGATTCCATTTTTCTTCTTCTTTTGAGAAGGAAAGATTTTGTTTCTCCATTGGCACACTTTATTGGTCTTCTTTACTTGTGTCGTTCAGATTTTGTGTCTTTGTTATTTTGTGGCATCGTCTGATGTGGCTCCATCTCTTTTGGTTAGTTTTCCATCGTGTACATAATTATACGTGTTAACCGTTTTTGCTTTGGAATTTGTTGTTTCTTCCTTTTGTTCAATACAACTCACTACCTTTGGGATGCAAGATTCTGCATTTACCATATCACAGCGACTTCGGCACAATGTATTTCACGTCGTTGCACCACCGAGAAGGTGCTGACGTTTGTCTCGTTGCAGATGCTTAACAATCAAAGCTAGCTGCAGAAGATGAATGCTTCCTCAGGAAAAGCATGATGCTGGTTGAAAAATGAGCACAACTTTCCTGGAAGGCTCCTAGCACTGAATTGGCATAATGTTTTAAAAAATACCACTAATAGGGAAAAAAAAAAAGAAAACACAACTTGAAGAATTGCTGAAGAATGCCGACAAATATAGAAATTCCGCACACCCGTTAAATAATAATAACCCAGGCTCACTTCCTTCCGGAGAAAACGCTGAAAAGTTTGAGATGATCCAGCACAACAATTGTCAGAAGAGAACAAGACTGGCGTTCATAAGTGACCCAATGTGCAGGGTGGAGATGGCGTTAATTAGGGAGGGTGTCACTCATCAAACAGCCGATCCCTCAGCGGGGGACCCGTGTGCTTTGTGAAATTTGCTCTCTGAAAATGACGATGAGTGGTAGGAGGAAGGGTGAAGTATTTCAAGGCAACTGGGCTCAGGAAGTTGAAGATGAGTCAGAGGAGGAGGTAGTGGAGGAGGAAAAAGATTTCAAAGTCACATTGTGTGCTGAGGAGCAAAAGAATTCCATAGGATCTCAAATGAAAAGTCAAGTGATTGACGCCAAACTCTTGTCCTATTTCGGAGAAGCGTGCACATCATTCAACATTCTGGGTACAGGTTGAGAGCTTCACACAAAGCTGATCGTTTTCTTTTGAAGCGTATACATCATGATTGTGGTGAAAAAACAATTTAGCTTGAAACAAACATGACGGTTACCACCATGATGTGATTTAGCCGTTTCCATCATAAATGTTTCGTTCTGATTACGAAACGGATTTATGTATTAGCTCCTTGGGTCTTATTCAGATGGATGAATTCTAAGCATGTTAGTGGCATGTATTAGCATGAGAAATGTAATTAACTCGTGCAGTATGTTTCATTTTGTGATCAAGCTTTCGCAGGAAAAAGATGAACGTTGAGATTATGGGAAGAAAAAAAAATATATCAGCCTTATTTTTAGGCCTGTCGGCCGTTGGGTAAAGATAGCTTCCGTTTTTTTTAGTTCCGGGACCACCATCTGGTGTGGGGGTGAACATTTCATAGAATGGCACTCAAGAACCTACTCTTTTTTTTTTCAGTCACATTAGTGAATAGTGTTCCGCTTAAGTATCAGTTGACACAAAATGTCTCATTTCACAACACTTCAAAACCATTCATTGGAACTGAAATGTTGATATTTTTGTTGAGTGTGAGTTTAGTATGAAACAAGCCATGTTCGAATCTTTTCTGACAGGCAATTACATTCTGGGGGGTAACCGGTTACTAAGTCTCAACTCAACTCAACTGTATTTATAGAGCACTTTCAAACAGCCATCGCTGCATACAAAGTGCTGTACATGGAGCAAATTAACATATACAACAAACAGTAAAGCAAATCGGTAATAAAAACAGTAGAAAGCACCGAACAGCAAAACCAAGAACAATCTAAGTCATGGTGAGTCAAATGCCAAAGAATACAAGTGAGTTTTGAGGCGGGTTTTGAAGATGGGCAGCGAGGAGGCTTGCCGAATGCTCAGTGGGAGGTCATTCCAGAGAGAGGGACTAGCAACAGAAAAGGCTCGATCCCCTCTGAGCCTCAGTTTAGTTCTTAAGGAGTAAGTACTAAGGAGAAGAATGAGTCATGTTTTGGAGAATTCTTTCCTCAATGGAGTTGTTGGGAGATTTTTAACAACTTTTTGTGTTTTCCAATTTTCAGTGACACATGAGATTGAAAATCAAAAACAAGGCAATCAGATGACCGAGGATTTTCTAGGCATGCAATATTTTCTCGGATCAGCTGATTACCTTTTTTTTTTTTTTTTACTTCACACATGCCACGATAAATTATTCAACATTTCTTTGGCTTTACTCGTTATGCTGCAATACAGCCATGAGCAACTGCAATGATCTGTGCCAGGAGTCCGGCTTTAAAAGTAATTATTACAAAGTGTTGTTGATAAAAATAGACATAAAGTTAAATTGTATATTTTTGTTCGAAAATGGCTCCGTCGTTATTTAGGGGCATAAGTCCGTTCCTGCGCCTTTCTTTCAAGACATTCTCCCGTCTAGACTTCTGCCACACCCACCATGCATGACCTGGAAATATGTGCGCAATCACCAAAGAGGCGTGGTTTGGTCAAGTCTGAGGAGGGCCCTAATTTCCAGGCCGTGGAGTTTTCACGAGACGTGAATTCCATCATGATCTATTTTGAAAATATGGCACACTTTGATTGTGAAATTAGCCTGCATCGTGAATATGGAATTTATCGCAGTGATGTGCAGCTCATCTCCAGGCTCCTTTGACAGCGTGTGTGACTTTGCATTCATTTTTTCATTTATCCAATCCAATCAATTTAATTTAACAGAATACTGTGCTCATAACGTATGCTTAGGAAATTGAGATTTGATCAGGTTGCCGAGCAACGCGGTTTAGTGCATCAAATACCCTCCAAAAATCTATAATTTAACAAAGGGGTGCCAAACTCATTTTTGTCATGGGCCACATTGGAATCACTGTTTCCCTTGGAGGGCCATTATGACTGTCAAACCACATGAAAAAGTCTAGAATAATCAGTGGCGGACCCTCAGGGCCAGCAAGGCCTTCTCTGCTGGCCTAAACATTCTCAGAAAAGTCTGAGAATAACATAAATTTGTTATTTTCATAAATATGTTCACAAAATTATTCTCTGTATTCTTTACGTCAT